ATCAGCAAGCAGGAGTATAAGGACATCCTACGCAAGGCTGTTCACAAGGTAAAGTAGGCAGCACCGGGGCCGTCGACCTCAAGGGAAGGCAGAGCTCAAACGAAACGTCCGCTCGATTTAAATTAACGATGATTGTTTTTTTTTAAATATTTTAATATTGTTATTGTTCGGGGCGGAGTGGTGGGCGCAGTGCTTTGAATCCGGTGATTCATGGCTAATATCAAGGACGAAGTGATATCAAAACCGGTCCTGGGCAAAACCCCCTTTACACACTGACCAGTGTGGTGATGCCTGGTCAAACAACACTCATTGCTGACAACACAGTGTGCATACGCCTTGAGCATAGGATTGATAAAAGGTAATCAAATATTAATTTATTTCTAATAATTTTGGAACTGGACCCTTTTCAACAGCAGTTTTCGAATGACTTGGTTGCTACTCACTGCAGCTTTCGATTTCAGCAAAGAGCCTCCTGCTGCTGCTGTGGACGTGGTGGCGACATAGGTGGTTCGCTGGGCGGCGGTCTCTCTCCCTCACGTCCGTGCCGTCGTCATTGTGGTTCGCGTGTCAGATCTCCCACAGCTCGGCCGAGGTGATCGTGCCCAGCAAGGTGGACGGCCTGGTGGTGGCATACGTCAAGAACGTGAGCGAGGCACGGAGACGCTCGCAGGGACCGAGCGACGGCTAATCCCGGCCGGGTCCCAGGGGCACGAATCGCAGCGTGGGAGGGGGCACCTCCTGTGCTGCAGTGAAATCAGGAGCAGAGAAACCTCCCCCCTTTAGCACCCCCCCCCACCCCCCCCCACCTCTGTCTTGTATGGCTGGCTCGTTTGTCGTTGAACTGGAACACAAATCAGGATCGGAGTTCCTCCGAACGGAGCGTAAAGTCGGCTAGTTTTGGTTTGTACGGTCGTGTGGTCGTAGGGCAGTCCGGCGGACAGCGCCCTCAGCGCCGGCCTCTTCATGCAGGTTCTTAAAATGTTGACGCGCGCGACAGTTACCAATGCTTTCTGCTGGGCATTCACACCACAGCGGCGGGGCACAGCCTTTCTAAGGGGTGAGCATGATTTAAAAAAAAAAGACCCCGTGATATCATTGGAAAGGGTGAGCTATTGTGTGCACGCCAGCTAAATGCAGAATGTGAACGTGCGTGGGGCAGCGGGGAGCGAAATGGGTGGCGGACGATGCCACGATCCCTTCTGATCCCAGTTCCGCTCTCCCCCCCCACCGCGTACGTCACCAACAGACATTTGTATATTAACCTCAATTGGACCTTCGCGCGTCGATTCGGTCAAACCCAGTGAAGGGTAATGGGTTGCGTGGACGTTGGTGCAGGGAGACAGAGGTGGCATGCGTACGATGGTGCTGACCACACCATCCCCTTGCTGCATGCCATGCTGGCCTTACTAGGTGCTCACCGACTGCACTTTGATGGTCTGCAAGGCTAAACGGGGGTTCTTTTTGTTTTAAACACAAATGCATCTTTGAAAAAGGATGCGGTGTTTACAGTACACTTAGCCGCCTTAGTGGATTCTGCCATAGTGCCAGAATCTGCCCTGGATCTGTATGCAGGTGAGCATTGTCCCCATTCACAAAGTACAAGTGCACAGACTTAGATAGAAATGTATTAAAGTGAAGAGCAGTGTCCTACTCCCAGACATTTTTATTTGATGCATCACATTGAAGCTGGAGTCTATGACTTCGTAGTTGAACATAGGGATAAATTACAACCTTGTCTGTTATAATTTAACTAGTTTAGATGCCTTGTGTGAAATTTACTTTAATGTATTGATACAACAAAATATTCACGACAGAAATTCAAACTATGGTCCCCTAAGCTGTTTTATCCTTAAAATTCTTCCATCCAAAAAAACCCCCAAGATCTTGCGCTCAACACGGCGGTGTTATTTTGTAAAGAATTTCTAAATAAAAGCGTTGTTTTATTCGCTTGAATCTTTCCCGCCTGCCTTTGGTGATGCCTTCACGAGTCGTTGAGTATGCAACAACAACCACCGTTCGCAACTAAGTGGCGCTGGACGTCACCACGGCGCTCGTGCCAGGCCATGTGCACGTTAAGGCCACGTGAAGTGTTGAACGCCCGCTGGCAGCAGAGGTTACGGGACAGACCCAGGTGGTGCCATGGGTTGACCGACTGAGATGACTGAACGTTGAGTGTGCACACGTGGTCAAAATCTACGCTCGCTCAAAACGACCAAACTCGCCAAAGCCCTCCTCGCCAACGCAAATCGTATTTCAATTCCAACGTTTTGCGAACGATGAAGGAACTCGTCACGACAGGAGAATGCAGCGTGCAGTCTGGAGGCAAAAAGGTTTGAACACAAAGGTGGTGCTACTGCTCGTGAATTGCAAGGAAGAACTCCCATCATGCCTTGCATACATGTCATGTGATAACGTTGCATTTGCAATGCTGTCAACCTTGTCCAGATCACCAGTTCAAGAGCGGAACATGTTTCGACCAGCTCATGAACTGAAAAATGTGGCCGTTCCAACAGGCAGCAGCCGTTAACAGATAACTGTCGGCTAGTCTCATCCCCATTAGGACAGGCAGCGAATAATAACAGCAAACATTGATGAAATTAATGTTGTGATCAAGAAAAAGCTGAAATGTGATCACATCACATGCATGCAAGGCATGATGGGAGTTGTGGCCTGTTAGCACACTTGCGTTATCTGTTTTAAGTGATTTCTTTACCTTTCCTGTACTTTTCACTCTTTTCGTGTTTCTGTATCGTTTGTTGTCACGTTCTGACCTGCCTCTACTGGACATTTATGGAAAGAGAGCTTTATAGCTCATCAGATTCCTTCAGTATAAATGTGTAGTATTCTAATTATGTTAAATATACCAATGGAAACCGTAGCCCGTGGCCTCTCATGTTTCAGTGGCCAAGTGGCCAACTGTGGCCCACCTTTCCACGTTTTCAATATTCATTTAAATCCCAATTGTCATTCCACATTGTGTTGCGTGTGGCTTTAATTTGTACGTTTTTCAGGTGATGGTGACATCACTGGGCCACTGGTGACCAAACCAGATCATTAAGTTGTATCGAATTGTACAGAGCAAAAAATTGTGAATCCACATGACACATGGGAAATTCCTAGGACAATCACGGCATAGTTTGAATATCGTACCGCTAATTCATAGCGGTGCGGCAAAAGAGACTTATGAAAAGAATACGGGACGCCCGGACTTGTGGGCAGTGTGCCGGCAACGCGAGAGCCTTCGGCTCTGGTTCCGTGCTCAACTCCTTCGCCTCGAATTATTCCGGGGCCTGAATTGTGTCGCCCAAATGCTCCTCCCGTCAGAATTCCGGTGAAAACGGCCAATTTCGTACAACAAAACTAAACCTCCCCCGAGGCAATGTTGGGCTTGAGCCTGTTCCGCCAAGGTTTGAATTTCCACCCTTAGAGAAGACCCAAACGCGCCACTGCTCGCCGCGATGTGCGCAGCCGGAGTTAGGGGGGGGCCCACGCCTCGCGAGTGAGACCCGTCGTTCGGCAGGTTGTCGTGAAGAAAACGATTTAGAGTCGCCTTGAATAGGTCAGTGTATTAATTACCAGAAAGAGGTCGGACCGTAAATAGTAACCTTGGGAGAAGAGGAAAATGTTTTTTTCCGCGGGAGAGTCCATAAAAAAAACAGCATTAAGTCGTAAAAATCCCAGAGATGTGGGAAAATGTGGAGCTGTCGCTAATACAGAAGAGCAATTGAGGTCGATACAAGAGGGACAGGACGAAAGGATACTAACCTGTAAAGTCATTCCGGGGGTAGCAGTGGTGGATCGACATCAGATGAAGTGTATTTACCGACTAAAGCCCATTGCGCTCCACATCTGTTATTCAAGGGCGACTCGGCCAGTAGACGACATCGGCCACGGAATTCTGGTGATGAGATGAGCTCAGGAGAGGGGGAAACTGAAGTGAGAGACCAACACCGGTGTGACGGAGGCAATAACTTTTCGGGAGTGCCTGGTGCAGCTACGGTGCAGTGGGACAACTTGACAAGGGGAGCGGTGGCAGCAGTGGAGACATTATTGTGGTAAAACCGTCACGAGGAGTCCCCCTCACGGCTGCCACCAAGTTGACACAACGCAGAAGATGCCCGGCTTTTGATCTTCCAGGAAGCTACTCTCATGGTCCACGCAAAACCGCATCCACTGCACGAACCGTGGCAGGAGATGCCAGATATCCGATGCACAAATGGAAAATGTAAAACTTTCCAGTCGTCGGTTGAACACGTAGGCTTTCGTGACCAATATCCATACTTTTTTGGGGGGTTATCGCGTAAATATAAACGTGTCATTAAACCCACCACCACCAGCCAATTAGTTAGGTTTGTCACTAAAAAAAACATGCCAATCAGTGACTAATTCAGCACACCGGTGTGTTGGAGAGTAAACCCATTTAAAATTCGAGCACGTTTCACAATCGTGTGAAGTCATCCAGAACCAGACTATGCAACTAATAACAATGCAACGCCCAAGCCACCTCAACTAAGACATCGCGGCAATAGACACTCCACTCTGCATCTACATCAGCCCATATGAAAGAAGACCGAGTTGACAGGGTTCCAAGTGACAGCACTTGCATCGGGGTGGGTATAGAGCAGCTTATCGAGTGGGGTTTCCTTAGCCTTGCTGAAACAGTTTGGTATGCGGGCCAAGGTGTTCATCCTCAAGTCCACTCCAATTCCGAGGAGCCACCCACTGTTCACGAGACGGACAACACAAAGGATGAAGAAAACGGGATTTTGGGTAACGTGCCTGTCAAGGAAATGTCCTCTGTGATGATGAGAATTAATCGGAAAGAGGTGGAAGCCATGGAAGAAATTATGTGGAGAATCAGAGATTTTAGAGAATGAAACAATGTCAAGAGCAATTAAGCCAAATCGAAGATAGCTTCTGAAATGCACGCAGATCAACCATTAAAAAAGTCTGCGCAACAATCTGCACAACCCATCGGATTCATCCAGAACAAAATCAGGTTACAGGTTGTAACATTTAATACCAGTTTAATTACATGAAAATAAATACAGATAAAAGTTGACACCTAACAACCCCGTCCATGCTGCCACACACAGCCGCGTTTGTTCAACTACTCCAGAAAGGATCCTCCGTAGAGGATCGAGCACATGATGAACGAGCAATGCAGCACCGTGCGTTAAAGAAACACGGTTACCGAGGACACCTGGGCTTAAGACTGCCATAACATGATGCAAAGAGTCTCGGCCATCAGAGCCAACATGATCAAAGCTATACACAAGTGAAAGATTTAAAAAGACATTTAAAACCATAAATATGAAGCAAGGATGTGCATTTGTCTCTTGCAACATTATGGAGAAAGGCAAAAAAACCAGACAAAACCGGACGCACTTATTAAAAAGGTGATCGTTCTCAGCTCCAAGCGTCATGCCCTGGCTCATGGCTTGAGTTCACTTATCAGGAAAATGCTATTTAAAAATGAGAAACGAGCTCACGAGTGAAAATGTCTAAAAACCTGGTTCCGTAAAAAGCGATAAAGCTGACCGTCTCCTTCGCACACCTGTGTCTCCGCATTGAAAATAAAAGTTTTGTTTTTACACAACCCACAGGCCCCACGTCCTTTGGGAGTGAACGTTTGCTCAATTAATTCAACACAAGCAGCTTTCGACCGGCTTTGACGGTGTCCCATCAGCACTCAAGCTTGCTCGAAGCAATGCTGGTCGAACTGCCAGACGTTAAATGCAGTTTCACCAGCATCGATTAAAGTCCGACTCTGCTGATGTTGAAACCGGTCTAGAGTCTGCTTGTTCGGAATCAAGGGTGCCAAGATGATGCAGTCCCCCTGGGCAGCTGATGGATTGTGTAAGAAACACTTTTCTTTTTCATGTGGAGACGACAGGTGAAGGAGACACGGTCTGCTCGTTTACATCGTGATAAAAAGATTCCGTTAAAATCAAGGCCCGCGCCATGTGGACAATTGTCAGAACATAATGGAACAGCCCCCAAAATTGCACCTGGAGCCTAAGTCTGAGTGTACAATGCGAGTGTAACGTGGTGAGTGGCGAGTGTACGTGGCGAGTGTACGTGGCGAGTGTACGTGGCGAGTGTACGTGGCGAGTGTACGTGGTGAGTGGTAAATGGACGTGGTGAGTGATGAGTGATTGAGGCGAGTGTACGTGGTGAGTGTACGTGGCGAGTGGTAAATGCACGTGGTGAGTGTACGTGGTGAGTGATGAGTGATAGAGGCGAGTGTACGTGGTGAGTGTACGTGTTGAGTGTACGTGGCGAGTGGTAAATGCACGTGGTGAGTGTACGAGGCGAGCGGAGAGTGTTAATGAGCGACGGGGATGTCATGTCGGCGATGCTCTCATCAGGACTTTGTCTCGTACTGCTTCAGCAAGTACTGCTTGTATTCTGCACGAGAGAGAAACAAGAGAATACGAGTTAACCTGCAACACTTTATGCAAGCGTAATTCCTGGAACAAAGCCAGATTTAAGAAATGTATCGCGGTGAAAATTAACATTCGGAGGGCACCTCTCCCTCCTTTTGTGCAGTCGGCAAACTAAACCAGACAACGCAAAAAATCCCAGTGGGATGCAAGTCAAACAACAACAACCACAAGACAACTAAGATTAAGGCCATCAGTCTAACTCCGTACTACAACAAATCAAACATGTCCAAACGAAAAAACTTTTCCAAATCACCAAAAACTAAAGTCATAATTGCAACGTAACAGTGATCACAGGGACTGTGACCGAATTTTTACAATAAACTACATAAATAACATGTAACACCAAATCCTAGAGGCATAGCTGGCTGCATGAGTTACTCCACAACAACAGAAGCATCAGTCGGAGTATAAAATTTTTCAATGCACCTTTAAGATCAGCACGCTAAATCAATGATGAAACAAAGTAAGTTGTTTCCCGTGCTTAATTTGTGTTCACCTTCTAAAAAGATCCGGCCATGTCATGCACCCCAGGCTATGAACCACTGATCTAGATGACCAAATATGAAAAGGGAGTTCAGCTCCCTAAAAGCTTTTTGTGAATATATCAATTTTGCATGATGTTTTATTTTAATGTAATCTACATACACACAAACATTAATTAAACTAAATGTATGTTAATATATATTCGACAGCCATGATCAGTGCACTGCTGGATGAAAGCGTCCACACGCAGTCGCCATCCCTCGCACAACTCCTGCAATGTGGCCATCATCCAGCCTCACACGAGATTCACCACTTCCTCCTCTGTGGTGGTCGCACAATTGGGAGCACTCGGTGCATCACTAACCTGACTTATCCGGCGTTACTTTCAAATCTTAACTGCACTATTGCGTGTGCATCTCACTGCATTGGCAGCTACTCCATCCCGTGCATCTCCTCAGTTCCTTCACCCCCCTCCTACAGATCTCACACTTCGAGGATGGAGCACCATGGCCACAAGTGCCCACTCGTGGCTTCGGTTACAGCACACAGCTTACAAGATTCGTCTGATATGGCTTTCTCACTGCCTCAAAATTCTTAATCTGCTGCAACTTGAAAAACAAAGTAATAAGCAAGAGGACTGAGCACATGTTTCCAGATGAAAACTCTTACAGCTAGGGCACTCGGCTATCGGATTAGCTACGTATAATCGACCCCGATAGCCGAGGTTAAGGAACTGATCATCGATATTGGACGACACCAAAATAGTTGAAGTATTACCCGTTTGCGTAAGTGCCGCTGAACAGGAGGTGATGGGCAGGGATTAAGAATGTCATCGGCAAATGCAGCCGGGACATTCTGGGTATGGGGCCATGGTGTTGCCCGGATCACGAGGCAGGCCTTTGGGATGGCCACCATTTTTCTTTTCATGGGCCCAGGTAATGGACCATAAAGCTAGTTGACGATGTTTGCGACTTTATTTAATCGATAACTTGCCCCAGCCCTTACAAATGTTGTTGTTGTGCGGTAATGTTCTGAGATGCAGAGAAGAGGGATCACACTCTTTACCATCCTGGTTTGGCCAGAGCTGCGCTGCGTGGACATTCAACGGGCTCTCGTTGTTGGGCTCTGGAAGAGAATCGCCCCCACACGATGTAGCACCACGACACTTAAAAAAAACACCAACATCTTCCGATGCTCCCAATGGACCTCAAATTTACACGAGCATTTCCTCAATCTTGTACAGTGATTTAAACGTAATACCAACCTTTTTTACAATGCTTCTATTATACATAATGCGGCATAATGTTTTCCATTCATTTAAAACACCAGCACGTTGAGGTTAAAGTTTGTGAAAGCAATTTCACTACATGACATGTCAAGGTATGTCTTTCAGTCTATTATAATTCGTGATAAAAGATTTTTGTTTTGGGTTAAAACACGTTGTAAACCCACCTCCATCCGACAGCCAATTGGTAAAGTTTGTCACGTACACAAAACGTGCCGACTAGTTACTATGTATGCACGGAGAACTTATTTTGCACCGTACGTAGGCAACCGTGCTAAATCGGCGAAAAGTTGTACTCAAAATTAAAAACGTTGTGGGTTTTGCTCTCCAACCAACCCTTCAGCTCGATGCAAGCAAAATTACTGGTTTCATTCACCACACTTGGATGTGCACAATTACACGAGCACTACTCCTGCGAACGGCGTGGGAAAGTTAAGCTCGCCGTCGGTGTCGACTGCAACGGGCGGCACCGTGGCTCGGCGAGCCGCCGATGATGCACGGGGGGGGAAGGGGGAGGAAGAGGCGCACCTCCCAGCAGGCTCTGGATGGACAGCAGGATGGTGCGCACGTCATACAGCGCCGACCACTTCTCCTTGAGGATGTCAAGGCAAATGTTGCCCTGCAAGTCCACGTTGGGGTGGTAGCACGGCGTGACGAAGTGCACGCTCGGCGCGTTATACGGGTAGCCGCTGGGGAACTCCAGCGACAGCTTGTAGCGCAGGCCGTCGTACACCTGCAGGGGGTGGGGGGCGTGAGACAACCGCGGCCCACCGCCGGCGTGCACCTCGCCGGCACAGACGGGCGGCAGCACGACATCGTGCAGGCCGGAGTCCGCGTGCGCACGCAAGCTCGGTGCTATTCCAAGCGTACGTCTCTCTACGCTGCTTTGCACAGCGGGCAGCTTCGGTTTAATTTTCCTTGGCACCGTCCGCGTTTCTGATTCACGTCACAGCCGGCTGTACGCACCGATGAAAATTTCTCTTTTTTTACAGAGTTATGAGCAGATCCTCTTTCTTTATCATTAAGGGCCTGCCACCCTGCTCTTGTTCTCTGTATTTCATCGTTTTGATCCCCATTTAGTCTGCATCATACATGGGAACACAGGGTGGATAGCATTGTGTACCGCAGTATACCCGCCAGGGCTACATCAAGGGAAACGTGCGCGCACAGCGGAGCGCAACATAAACACTACAGAGGTCGCCATCGCCAATGATGCAATGACGATGGGAAGAATAGCCATCGGCTCTGTCTCCCGAAAGAAATTAGGATTTGCATGCAAAAGGAGTTTCACTCAAGAGGACGCTAATTTGGAGAATTTGAAGGAACAAAAGATTTTCAATTCTGAAGCCACTAAAAATGAGCACGGTGAAGGTGTTTGATCGTTAACGATGTATTGTCGAACATCGTCTGGGATGTTTAAATGAAAAATGTCCACAACGTTCTGAGTACAGAACCCACAAGTTGCTATGTTCGTTAACACCAGTGGTCACTAAACAATGGCATAGCTTGCATTCTACAAAGAGAATTACAAAGTAAATTTTTCCGAGAAACGTTTCAAGTGAAATGTAACAAATATGTTCCACGATGTCCTTGAACAATATTTAGTTTGCCAATTAAATGAGAAGTTAACATTGTTTTCCCAGTTTCCTGCAGTTCACATTGTGCCGATGAGATCCGTCGATTTTTGTTGCAATACCCAAGCTTCACTTCCATCAAATCAGTTATTAGTTCTCCCAATTTCGCTGGAATCACCGTGGCTTATAGCTATCCCCTTAGCCCGACATAAAACGTGGCGAATGTTTATTTGTAACATATTTATTTACTACAAATCAAAATGTTACGCAATTAACTTAATTGCGTACTCGCAGGGTACAATTTGTATGTTTATTGTAAATTAAGAATGGAATTTAAAACACATCCACATGAAGCCAGGATGAAATGGCCACTTATAACCCAAGAAACCTAAATTAACACTTCACTTCCAGATAACTCACTTTTAGTTTTGTTTATGTGCTATGCTTTTTAAACTTAATTTGTCCAAGCCAACTTCCCCCTGACAAAATATTGTATTTCTAATTGATTGTTGTTTTTACTTCAATTTTTATGGTTGGTTTAATTTGACAATTTTTATATTCTTAGTTTTTTTGGTAAAGTCACGTTGAAGGGAAACAACAAAATAATAAAATATATATAAAACAATAAAAAATTCCCACGACGTTTCGACCATAACTCAAACGGTCGTCTTCAGGTGTGTTGGTTTGCATAAATTATGGTCGAAACGTCGTGAGAATTTTTTATTGTTTATATATATATTTTATTATTTTGTTGTTTCCCTTCAACGTGACTTTACCGAAAAAACTAAGAATGTGAATTACTGCAGTCACGAAAGCTTTAAATCAAAATTTAATTTGACAATTTTTGTTTGATAAATAGCTTTTTGCGATTGCTTTCGTTATTTGGCCCAGATTACTTACATCCCTGACCCCTTGTGTTCACACTTGATTAAACAAAACAATCTCAAAATTGTAACCTCCAGCCTAATCTACCCCGAGGATCTTGAATGAGGTGGGGGGGGGGGGGGTTCCTCTGTGCCTTACAGTTCCCTTTGGGCCGGTGATGGTTCCAATCCAGCGGAAAAGGTTCTCTCCGTCCGGAAATGCCGATACGTCTTTGTCCCCAGACATCTGCACACACACACACGTTTGGGACGGTTAGTACGCATGTAGAATTTCTTTCGCACCGTACGTAGCCAACCGCGCTAATCGGAGGTGTGGGGAAGGACAACAAACGAAAGCACAAACAGCAGTTATAAAAGAAAGGAGTTTTTAATTTAGATTTAAAAGTTTCAACTCCGTTGCCTAAGCATCCTAATATAGGACCAGAGTTCAGGCAATGGTTGGCACTGCTTCTGGCCGCCTTCCCGCTGGTCTGTGGATTTCCACGTCTCTGAACTATCTTCTCGCGTAGCTTGGTCATGTATTTGTTTATAAATGAAAATCATAGCAGAGAATCCAGTTTCACACAGATAAGCTGTGCAGAATGTAATCACTCTGTAAATGCCGTGTCTGAAATCTGGAGATATTAATTTCTTCTCCGGAGCCAAAATTCACCAAGATGCATTCCCCTCATCAACTCCAGCCGAAACTCACCATCACATGCAACGTCTATTCGCTATTCCCATTCCTCAGTGAAGACGTCGTTTGTCAACCAGTTTTTTTCAACCGAACGCATGTCTTGGATCCAGTTGACTTTTGATACATCTCTTCGGGGAAATAGTCGACGAAATTTGAGGTCAGACCAGGAGTGGTCTTTAATGTCAGCGGTTAGGTCCTGGTGAAGTTTCAGTCCGTTTTCAGTGAGGAAAACCATCTCATGTTGAAAATGAATGACAATTATCTCTCAATTTCCAGAAGAATAAATTGCTGGGTTTGTTTTTACAAATGCTCTTCTTTTTGTCATAAACTTAAAAATAAGTACTCTGGTTCTTTTGGTAAAGTCACGTAGATAGAAACATGACGTTTCAGTCGCAACATAAGCGTCCGGCTTCAGGTGTGAAAAAATGATCTGCTGTTGTGGCTTTATATAGGCACGGGAAGGGAGAGGGAAGGGGGGGGGAAGGAGTTTGGCTGTGGGAGTTCACAGAGGAGAGGGTTTGTGGCGTGCAGAAGTAAAATACCTTGGTTACAGTACTTACCATCAGTGACATCAGCTCCTGATGCAACCTAGGAAACACAGATAAGCACCTCATTTATCAATAAATGTATGGTAAAGTATGATCACATTGCAATAACAGCCCAGCATAGACAATTTCAATGTGAAACCACAGCCTCGCCTGTCTATTAAGGAGCTGAAGCAGTTACTGATGTATATTACTTTTTTGCATTCAATATTTTATCTGTAAAATCCTTTTCAGATGGAACGTCTCGTTTGCAAGTGCCCAAGGTTATTAAGTGACATATTTAACAAAAACATACATCCTCAACTTACACAGCAGACAAGTCGACAGGGTGGCCCAAAAGTCAGGATACAGGACGGTTGTTATTGTACAGGGTGGCCCAAAAGTCAGGACACAAAGGGCTATTTTCATGTATCGTAATAGTGGCACAGTGGTGTGTCCTGTCGTCCTGCATGGGGCCCGTGGTCTTCACAAACGACCGTGGCCCCATCCTCCTCACCGCTTGCTCACAGAGCCCCGCGCTACGGCGTTGCCGCTGTCCGCCGCCTTCCTCGGCGTGGCCGAGGTGCTCGCTGCGGGGTCTGTGTTCTGAGAAGCCATGGAGAGGCACCACCACGACCACGACTCTTCGACTTATTCCGAGTCTCCTCCACGGGCTCCTCGTCACTCTTAAAGTGCTGCTCCTCCTACAAGACAAAGACCCCCCCCCCGTGTAGCATCAACAGACTGTCGGGGCAGGTGGCGTTAGCGAGTAGCACCTCTGAAGACCGGCACTGTGGCACACGAGGGGGTCGGTGGCCGGCACCACGCCCGGCCGCCTTTGTCTCCCCAGTTGCGATGTTTACACACCGCACCAGGTACTCGTTTATACACACACGGCCTTTCATTCACCCACCAGTTAACATTTACTTAACTAATTCACACACACGCATTCGTTCAACAAAGTCAACATTAACACGTACATGCAGTATAACACGTAGGCTTTCGCGACTAATATTATTCAAAAATAATGGAGTTTGGGTTAGACCGTGTTAGTATTTGTGTCGATACCCTCCACAACCCGACACAGCCAATTAGTAAGGGATTTGTCACGAAAACAAAACGCCAAATCGTTACTACTTCAGCCAACCGATGTGCTGGAGAGTGAATCAACAACATTTACAATCTGAACACGTTTCGCTGGTAATTACATCCAGCATCATCGGGCGATTTTCCCGATGATGCAGTTCAACAAGTAACGTCAATGAGCGTCTTTAAATCTCTATTCAACGGTATTAGATTTGTAATGTTTCGCTAGTTATTAGTTAACATGAACATAGCTTTAATTCACGAATGCGAACACCTTAAACGACGATCTCGTTATCGACACCAGCCATTGAACAAAGCGATTCGCTCATTAACAAAAGACGCTGCCTTGAATGCACTGTGTAGCATTAACACACACACACAAACGCCTTACTTTCGCGAGTTAAGGGTCCCACACTACCAATTATCTGTTTAACATTCACAGGCACGGGTCTTTAATTCATCAATTCACACACTCTGCTGTATGGTTGGAAATGTAACTTCCATAACCAAATTAGTTTCGCCGGTTAACAACGCACAGAACCCTGAACACACAAACACACCCTTCGTTCTCTATTTGACAGTAACCCTTACAAACTTAGAATAAATATGCATAAACATCCCGCGAGCCCACGAGTTCACGAACGCGATTAGATCCGAACAAACGACGAAGACCGGCCACTGCCGCCGTGCGACTCAGCCCATGCACCGTGCAGTAAACCAGGAGCCTGCGCTCCTTCAGGAGCCGGCATGGTTAGACGAGAGTGTAAGAACGATGAGGTAACGATGAGGTATCGATGATGTATCGATGAGGTATCGATGAGCCCGCACCTCTTCACGAACGCCTCGCCGCGACCGCCGCCGCCGCCGTCGCGCGTTTGAATTTAACGGACACGGCGCTGGCCGTCCAATGGCGTTGCGAGGCGCAGCAACGCGGCGCCAACTCGCCCCTGGGGCGGGGCGGGGCCGCAGCGCGCGGCACGCGCCCGCCCCCGCCTCGCCCCAGGGGCAGAAAGCGCCTTCGACAGCTGGGAGGATGACGTCACCGTCGGTGTGGGTTGTACTAAGAGAGGGCTCCGCGTTAGTCAGGTGAACATTAATAACGACGCGTAAACATTAAAGTATTAAAGCGTTCGTGACCGCAGGGATTCATATTCTTGGTTCATTCGGTAAAGTCAGGAAGAAGGGAAACAATAAAATAAAATTCTCACGACGTTTCGACTGCAACACAAGCAGTCATCCATCAGGTGTGAAACCACAGCAAGAAAATATTGCTGTGGTTTTCACACCTGATGACGACTGCTTGCGTTGCAGTCGAAACGTCGTGATAATTTTTGTTTAATTTTATTGTTTCCCTTCTACGTGACTTTACCGAAAGAACAAATAACGATACGTATGTGTGTATATATATTATAATCACACACGAAACATTCGATGTACATTCGATGTAATAATTTAGTAAGAATATTGCAACTGGCATGGGTATGGAGTTGAAGTGTAAGTGTGTAGAGTTTTAAGAAGTGTAATTAAATAGCAACGCGGTAAATCACTCCACCCGCTCGACCCCCCCCTGCCGCTTCGTCGCGGTTGGTACAGCCCACCGCTAACAACCGCTCCGCCGGTTTGAATGTCCACCGCTGATTGGCTGAGAGGAGAGCACCACGTGGGGTCGAGGGGTGTGTCTCTCGCCGTGGTGATCGCGGCCCTCCCCAGCCACGAGGTGCCGCTTATCTGGCCACTTTGTTCGCTTTGCGGTCTCAATCGCAAAGCTGCCGCATCTGGGAACAAAATCAAGTGGCGCGTTTAGAGTGTAATGTTGTGGTGATATCACCGGCACGATGACCTCTTGACCTTAAATGTAATTATACCTTATTCGTAAAAGCCACCTACGGATGAATGTTAATGCTTTTGAATTGCTGCTGCTAGCTACCCTTCTACATCTGTCTGCGGTGTACACGGTCGTCAATTAGGCCCGTGGCCTTAATAAAACAATTTCTCTTTTACACGTCTCACAATGAGTTTTTGTTTGATGAATTCACAGTCTATGGGCAATCAAAACAATGCACCAGGGGATAGAAACTGCGCCGCGTCCCTGAGTGACGGGGACACTCGACACTCAAAAAGTTAAGTACAGCTGAGGTGATCTTACCAATGAATGGTTGTAAGGTCTCAGGCAGAAATCGGGCCCGTTTGTAGGTGGGTGAGTCAATGGTGGAGACAATAGAATAGAGTGGTGTACCTCCTTTATGGATTTTAGTAAGCCATACAATCTGGGTAGTCTAGCAGCATAGGTAAGCGAAGTGGCTTATCATCATCACGTGTAAATGTATAGCAGGAACAATATTAATTTCTACTCTCGGGTTTTTTCGGTAAAGTCACGTAGGCATAAAATAAATCACGACGTTTCGATCGCAACACAAGCAATCGTCATCAGGTGGGAAACCACAGCAATATTTTTTCTGAAGTGGGAGAGAGATGCCGTGGTAAGAGGTGAGAAAGGGGGGAGGGGCAAGGAGGGATTCCTGCAGTCACGAAAGCTTCAAATCTAGAATATTAATCTCAACAATCTCAACCACGTGGCAGCGATGCGCTCCGTCACCGCTAGAATGCGCCGCTGAGCGACTCAGCGACCACGTCGCGTCACTGAGTCACGGGGCCACTCGACACTCAAAGGGGCCAAGCGGGGCCGCTGCTCTCGCCGGGCGCGGTGGCGTGCGCCTGTAATCCAGCTACTTGGAGGCGTGGGTTGCGGGATCGCTTGAGGACGGGAGTCCTGCGCTGTGCGGCTCTATGCCGATCGGGCGTCCGCACCAAGTTCGGTATCAATATGGTGAGCGAGGGGGAGCTCCCGCGCACCAGGTTGTTGTACTAAGGAGGGACGAACCGGCCCAGGCCGGAGACGGAGCAGGCCAAAGTCCCCGTGCCGATCAGTGGTGGGACAGCGCCTGTGAATAGACCTCTCAGGGCAGCCCGGCCGACACAGCGAGACCCAATCCTTTTATTATTATTATTACTACACGTTATTTACTCACCTCAAGTCCTATTCAGGTTTTTAAGGTATCATTAGGGTCGTGCTCACTCGCATTACATTTATATTTTATCTGACTCATTGCAATAAAATGTCACGAATTATGAAAGAATCTCAACACTGGCTCTTCTTCTATCAGATTAAAAATACATGGGCCTGTTCATATGCATCACAATTTCAGCTTTCACGAAGCAATTATCGCACTTGAGCTGTACAACAACTTTCATTTTATTGGGAAAAGACGCTGTCATTGAGTTGCTCCATAGCGCATTCTGCCGGTGACAGAGCGCATCGTCGTCTTCATCACTTCAAGAGGTTCCACTTTCACGAAATTTCAATAGTACACCAATTCCCAAGCCTGGGCAAGGCAGCAAAACAACAGCAAGAACAGTGCCAGACCACACCAAGACAACAACACACAGTCACCAATAAAATTACACATTTAAAGTTAACTATTGATACATGGGTAAGGATAAAAGTTACAAATCACATTGGCAAATGCAGTTGTATCCAACACGAATCTTCTGCTTCAGGATATGTTTTGAAGGAATATTTATGTTGTTGAAACGAGGTTGTTCCAAACCGTTGTCATGCAACTGCAAAGGCATTGTCACCTATTATAATTCTTGTTCTTGGGATATTTTAAAGGTAGTTGAATGGACGTCTTAGGTTAATTGTGCTTTACAATGGGGATAATGAATTCGCTAAGTATAGTGATGAGTTGTCAATAAGGAATTTATTGATGAACAGGGCCACATGTAGGTTTATTCTTCCATCAAGTAAAATAAGTAGAGGTCACAATGGTAGCTCCTATATACCATCATCCAGTGCAAATCGAAGAGTAGAATGATCAAGTGGCTTAGTCTGTTTAGTGTTTCATGAGTAGCTGATCTGTAAACAGTGCCCCAAGACGAAGAATTAGTGGAATGATAGCTTCAATAATTTGCAGGCGCAATCGAATGGGAAAACAAACTTTGTTTCCCTATATACTCCTGTTGTTGATTATATTTATCTTCGAGATGTGATCAATGTGGGGTTGGAAGGTCAGTCTTAAATCAATCAGTAAATCCAGGTATTTGAAGCACTTCAATGTTGTTGTTTCTGATATTCGTAATAGGTGAAGGGAATTAAACTGGACTTTTGTTTGAAGAAAATAGCATGACCTTTGTTTTTTGGGGATTTAGGAGCAATTTTCGTGATGACATTCGAAGTTCAATTAAGTCGAAATGGTGTTGGAGATTTGACACAGCTGTAATGGTGCAATCATCCCCTAGAAAATAAAACTTTATCGTGCAGGAGATTGTGACTTGTAAGGTAGCAGTTCACTTGTGATTTAAGTATTTCTTCCAATAATTTCGTAATTGGTGAAAGAATAGAGGTTGGTCTACAATTATTAGGATATTTTTAACACGTAGGCTTTCGCGACCAATATTATTCATAATAAAGGTTTTTGGGTTAGATCGCGTTGATTTATAAATGTGTCGTAACCCTCCACCACCCGACACGGCCAATCAGCAAAAAAAAGTGTCACGTTGACAATAAGACAAATAGTTCACTACTTTAGCCCACCGGTGTGTTGAAGAGTGAATCCACATTTACAGTTTGAGTACGACACATTTATAAATAAATGCGATCTAACCCAAAACCCTTTATTATGAATAATATTGGTCGCGAAAGCCTACGTGTTAAACTGACTAACCTCTATGGGGAGGATTCTTTTCTTAAAACCAGAAAATTGGAGAAGCTTCGCATTAAGCGGATGAAATTGATATCTTCACTGGCGTTCCTCAAAAGGTGCAGAGATTCAAAGGTAATACCAAACGCAGTTAAAATAACACATCACATAAAGTCTTCTAAAGCTAACCAAATACTACTCAAAGCTAGCGAATTAGTATTAATAGAGAGAATACAGCACAATAGGAGTGAATTATCTTACATTTCGGAATCGCTAAAGCAGTTACACTTAGATATAAGCAATAGTGTATCTATGCATTATTGGAATATAATCGATAACATAACACAACAATCGGCTGATAATGTGTTTAAACTAACAAAAACTAACCAAATTAATAAATTTTCTAGACTACATAATAAACAAATCCCCTACTGAAAACCGAAAATTTAAAAACAAAACCGTACTGAACTTGACTAACACTGTATTAACCGGTGACATGGTCTCTATCCTTTCTAAAGGCCTTAACTTTGCCATTACCCCACGCACAATTCCAGTGGATGAGATAATTGCTGAGGTAGAATCAGCAGTTAGACTCCTTCCACATAATGAGGCAGAGATGACGAGACATGAGGTTGCTAAAATAATTGAGAATAGCAAAGTTCCAAAAGTAAATATTAGCTCTAACGAGGCAAAAGCCTTAAGAGAGCTGCGTTTAAACAAGGATATCCAAATCCTAGCAGCTGATAAAGGCCGCACTACTGTAGTGATGTCACGAGCCGATTATGATAATAAAATTAGAAATTTACTAGAGGAAAGTACCTACATTAAAATTAAACGAGATCCAACTAATACTTTAGAACGTAAGACCACTGCAATAATTGCAAATTCATTAATCCCTAAAAATGAGCAATACCAAATTAAGCCAAGGGCCTCAAAACCACCTAGACTCTATGGGCTACCAAAGATTCATAAAATCGGCATCCCATTACGACCCATAGTCGGTACAATTGGCTCTGCCACATATCAATTAGCAAAATATATAACCAAACAAATACAGCCCTACATCGGTAGGACATCTTCATTCATAAAAAAATTCAGAACATCTTGTGAATGTGATTAATGATATTAAACTTACTCCTGATGATATTCTGTTAAGGTTTGATGTGATTTCTCTATTCACTAATGTTCCAGTGGACGAATCGCTTAAATTACTTGATACACTAGTAAAGAA